CGGAAGAGAATACATCGTCGCCGGGGATGCTGCAAGCTCGCGCGCGCTCGACGGGCCCCACCTCCAGCGATTGGATAGAACAGAGGGCCTGTTGCATACCATCTTCTATCATTAATCTCCGCGAAGACGGAGGAGTGACTAGCCGAAGATGGTACGAGCGTCTCTCCTCCAGTTTCCATGTATCCCGCCTCCGTGTTCTCCAAGTTCGCGTTGACGACGCTACGAGTTAGCTCTCCTCCGGGATCACCGCGCCGAGAACAACAACGTGTCGCATATTTCTTAAGCTGGCTTCACACACGACTCATTTGTCACTCTAATTGTGAGACGTAGAGGTCCGGATTCCGACTCCGTTGACAATCGGTTGAATCGTTCATTAATAAAAGCATATACAACTCGCACAAACTCGTGAAAAATGAAATCTACAAGGAATGCTTTTTAATATGCTAACTTTGTGATATAATATTATTATAGGAAGATATTAAATAAACATTTCTTTATACGAAATTAAAGAATTTTTGTACCATTACATTTCGTTTACGTGACGATTTGCCGCTCGTGCGAGCCTTACGGTGCGTGTATAGCTATGCAAATTTGATTCGAGTGCAATTTACATTTCGGGTCAGTGGGATATCGCAGTTAGATGAAGATGATGATGATGACAGTCTCGCAGAGAGCGAACGCGATTTCAATTGTATGTAATTTGGATGGTAGGTAGCGTATAGATAACAAAATAAAATAGCGCTCAAACACTTGTAAAATGTGAATGTTTCCAAGATAAATAACAAACGCGCGACGGAGAGCCGTTATTGACCTGTGTGTTGTGTGCATCGTGTCCTCCACTTTCGTGTTTCAAACACGTTTCACAAGTTTGAAGCAGCGTGGCTTTTGACATTCGGATTCGCGTGCGATCTAAATTACATTTTGCTTTATACAAACTCTGTTGCATCGATCGCACGGAATAAAAAAGTTAGCGATAACGCGTTAATTACTAACATTCCGTAGACTATTGATAGCGGGAGAAATCTGAATATAGTTTATTATCTTAATAAGAAAGTATAGATCTAATTATTCTAACCAGCAAAACAAATAATCTATATTATAAATGAAAGATAAAACATATTTTAATTGCCAAAAAAATTAAGGTCGACAAAAAAAATTAATTAAATTTTTTTTTGTATCAAGTATAAACTCCAAACACATTCTTTAATAAAGAGAAACTATATAAGTAATTTTTGACATTTTATTATTAAAGCTATAGAAAAAAAGAAACGTAGAATTTCAGTTTTAATTTATAATTTGGTTTTCTTATTTCGAAAAATTAATTAGTCAAAAATCAACTTCAAGTACGTTCAATACTTTAATTAGTTTAATTCATTAAGGTATTCGTAGCAATGTGTAGCTGTACTAAAAGGAGCTTAAGTGAAACTCTAGGGAAATAAGAAACTTGAAGGAATGACGCCATCAAGACGGATATCATGCGGCGAATACTCCGAATTCAGACAAGAATGCTTGTCGTGCATAGTTGTTGGTATGGACAGAACTTATCATGTAACATTCTCCAGTTGGCGAATATATCCGGAGGGTACGCACAACACACGCGCGCACGCGTTGCTCTCTTAAAAGCCGTTTATACGGGCGAGTCTAGAGATCCTATATACGGCTGAGAGATCGGGGTGACCATAAGCGCGATCGCGAGCCCACACGCTCATTCCAAGTTGCATAATATCGACGCATTATAAGTATTGCCTCAGAGTTACAATTATAAGCGCAGGTATGACGTCGTAAACACGTGTATACTTACGTTCGTTGGGAGGTACCACATTGTAATTTACACATCTTGGCGTCGTTGCGACACTCTTCTACACTTGCTATGATCAGAAAATCGATCGAGATATTTATGATTAATAATGTTATTATGTTAATTTGTAAATACGATTTTATATGCCCGCGCGTAAAGAAGGAAACGCATGTTTCACAAAAAAGAGAGAGATTATAGAAAAACTCATTTAATTGAAAAATTTCAGAATCTAAATATCAAATCTTCGGTATTTATTATATTATACAATCAAAACGAAAAATGATTAGATTAATTTATATATAACACTAACAATAAGTCAAATAAAATTCAACTCAATGCGTAACGTGAATGCGTGCTCTCGGATGCACGCGCTTCTATGTAGTTACCTTAATAACTCGCAATTATTTAAATAACATCTTTTTATCGCGATGGCGATTTTGTTGCGTGAACGCACGGTACACACCAGATACTGTTGAACAAATGACTCCTTTGCAACCACTGTCATTTTCGTAATTGTTTGTGAAAAGGTACCAGATAGCGGCCGTGCTAGTGCGATAATAAAAAATGTATCTCTCTTATTTTCTCTTACACATAATCTTGCACAAAAACTATTCGTTTTAATCAAATGGATTTTCTCAGATACTTACAGTGTCTTGAACCAATATCATCTCATTCTCTCTTATTTTACTTGTCTTTCTTATATTTTAATCTGCGTTCAAACACCATTTAAGAATCAATATCGTCGATATTTTTGATGTTATGTATGGTGTTTCAGAGTAATTTCTTTAGCCGTAGATACCTTGAAACCAATTAATAAAAATTTGAAGGAAAAACTTTCTCTCGCTCTCTCATTTTTTTTCTTCACCTATTTAATTGTTAACATTTTCTCCGGTGAAATTTCTTACGTCTTTAATTTAGCTCGTCTCGAGAAATCGCGTGTTGCTACACCAAGTCGTTGGCACCGCACGGAACAAGAATGATCCTTCTTCTTATCCTTTTTTTTTCTTTTGCACTTGTCATTGTCCACTTCCTGTGTCGGGTAAGTCGAGTGTTAATTCACGGGAGGCTCGTCACGAGAGCGCTAATATCTATTCTAATCGAGACGCTATCGCGCCGCTATTATACAGCCATTAATGTCGTCATATGTCTCAGCGTACCTTTATTTCATGAGAAAATTCGTAGAGAATATTCAAGGATAGGAAAAAGAGTCGGATATAAGATCAGATATTTTACGATGACAGTTCAAGGATCGATGTCATTCGCCCCGCGACATATCACTCTTTTGCATTTTTCGTTTCATTTTTGTGAAAATAAAATATTTTTAATTTTTACGGATTTACTTTTGTAGATATATTCTCGGTTTAATTAATATATCAAGGAGTTTTGAAGGCGCAAAAGAGTTTTTGGAACTTCGAGATTATGAAGACGAGATCCTTGATTTAATATAAGCTTATGAGGACGATGTCGACATATACCTGAAATCCCAAGACTTTCAAAGCAAAATGTGCGAGTTCTAGACCGTACAGATTTTAATCAAAAGAGAGGAAGCAGAGTAAGAGAGAGAGAGAGAGAGAGGGGGGGGGGGAGAGATTTATTATTTCTTGATATTATGGCGCGGGTATCGTCGTTCCGATATTTTATAGTTGATATTAACGGCGATCCCATCAGGATATCGTTTTTTATGTCACTTTACAGCCCGCAGTTAAGTTTTTCCCGCGGTTTTCAGCCCTTATTAATTTTCCAATCTCTCCTCTTAGCTTCGCGATTCGTGCATCATAAATTCCGTAAATAATGTTGCATTTCCGCTTATGATCGTAGATGTATAAGGCAACACGGCTAGTGTATCATATTTATAAAGGATGTCTCTTAACTGTGACTGTATCCCGATTTTGTAATCAAATTAAAGTTAATTTCAGAAAAGTTTTTTCTGATTTAAACACTTAAAAATGATGTTGAAGAATTATATTTCAAAATTATGAACAGAGCAAATAACAGAACTCTGTTCCTCGGTTAATTTCAAATGTTCTTTACTGCGGCAGAATCTTAATCTGAGACTTAAATATATCAAAATAATGCTTATACTTAAAAACTGCAAATAAACAATGATATCCCTAAAAAAATAATTTTCTATCTGTTTTAATATCAAAAGATATGGCATGTGAATATCATAACATCATATATCAATATTATGATTGTACTAATTTATGGCATTTGTTGTTGCACAGGTATGATGATAATAAGGACTGCATAAGGTGTTTCCGGTTGTTGCGGAGGTCGCGGAATGTCATCGAAGTGTTCTCGGAAGCTCTCAACAGGTGTTATATAAACGAGCCGGCTGCCTTGACCTCCTGCGACACACTGAACTCCACCTCGATCCTGTACCGTAAGTAGAAGCCGGATTTCTCTCGATAATCACGCATTTGCTCGTAAGATCGCAATCTATGACGTACATCGGGCTAAATATGAGACATACTTATGTTAATGAACATGACTTTATGCTAGAAATGCAGAGCGTTTTGTCTCAATAACTGCCTTTTCTCACGGTTAGAGCAAGTTAAATTATTGCTAATGTGAATTACTGCGAGTTTTTGTATCTATCGAGGAAATTGCGACTTTTCTTAGGCAATCGTGAAGTTTATTTCGCTTACAGCCGAAGAAATGAAGCGAATATAGAACACGCATAGAAAAGTATATCAATACTTGACAATAAGTTAAAGATAAGATTTATTAGCGATGTTTTATTTAATTCTAATATTATTTCTAATAAACACAGAAGAAAGGAGTAAATAACTATTAAAGATATTAATAACGATAAAATAGAAATGTGAAATAATAAGATTAAATGGAAAGATTTTACACACAAATTATATAATATAATAAAACAATACGTACGCTCTTTTATATTTTTAATAATTTTTTAATCAAATAATTTTTTATATAACTTAATTTCGATTAAAAATATATATTTTCGCGAAATTTAGGAATCATGAATCACATCTGTTTCATTTTTGCATGCTTTCTTTTACTGAAGAAGAGCATTATGAAGCGCATGGCATGTCGCAGAATAACGTGCATTCAGTTGAGGCGAATTAATTAGCAGTCGCATTCTTACATACGTGGCGTGCGTATTAGCGTCCTCAAGGAATTTGCGGGCTTCCGGTTTATCGAACAAACAAATTACAACGCGACCTCCGGAGGGAGGAAGGAGGGTTATAAGTTCGGCGTACTCGCGCGTCGGCGAATTAATAGTTCTCAATAATTAGCGTTAATTGGCCGCGGTCCCTAGCGACCGAAAGGAAGTGATGAAGCTTGCGTAACGACGCGGGAACAATGGGCCACTGCGCCGTGCAAGAATGCACGATATGCACGTCGCGTGCAGAACGCGTACACGCGTGTACGTACCGTGATTTTCTCACACGCGTGACGATTAAAACGCCCTCAAAGATGATTGGAATGCATTTGTATAATCGTTTATATTATATCGCGGAGTGGGTCGAACAAATCAAGTTAGCCCGATGTCGTTGAATCTCGAAAAGGATGAAGGCGCTGAGACTGAAAATTGTACAAAGCTTGCACGTAGTTTTGAAATAATTTGTGACAAAATATTTTATTATTATTTTCCATGCATTGAGATGAATTATCGAATTATAACATAAAAAATTGAGCATAATAGTAACCTTGTCAAGAGTTAACGGAGAATAAAATATGTATAAGAAACTTTCAAACGCGTAAGATTCGCACATATTAACATACAGAGGTATGCACATAATCACGTACATCGTTATTAGTTGCTTAATGAAGATTACTGATGAGCATTGATCCCCCTCGACTTCCGGTATATTATCACGTACGTTCACCTGTGGCGGCTCCCATAGAAGCTGCACCTGTCGCGAGATCGAGACGGCCCCGCTCGATTCCCGCTTGTAATCTCGGTTTCACGCTTTGATCCGTGTCGCTGCACGCGAGAAACTTCACGGGAACCGAAAATCTGGATCGGTGGTCCGGCGGAAGAAACATAATCGAACATCCGTGCGTGAAGTCTTTCAACGAATCTCTCAATGGTGCCGCCGGAGAACTCAGGGACGTCTTGTCGCCTATAAAAAGGCCAAAGCGACGACTTCGCAATCTCATAGATGTGCAAAGAATTCACATCCGGCAAATTTGCTCGCGAAAACATACCGTTCTCAGCTCTTTCAGGCTCAAAAAAGTTAAAAATGATCGATAGAAATTTATTCACTCAAAATAAAAAAAAAAAGATATTAATAATAATATATGCATGTCTAATGCAAATTATATAATATATATAATATATATAATAATAATTTAAAGATTAATGAAGGAAGTAAAAATATAATTGATTGAAAAATGATTTTTCGGTTGTTATATCTTCTGCCTTTTCGACAAACATTCTGGAGTATAGAAGAATGCTGGAAGAAAAAACGCCGAGATTTCGTCGAAACGACCTCCCGCGTTCCCATCCATTCTTTGTCGTGTTCTATTCCTGTTTCCCTTTTTTTTTTCCTGGACCGTGATCCATGCAGCAACCAGGTATTCGTCGTCGGAAGCGTGGGAGTGGCCCAAGAAGGTCCTCGTCCTAATCGTCCTGCAGTGAAATAAGCGAGGGAAACTACACGCGCCGATGGTCGGTCGCCAATAAAGAAAGAGTATATTGCGCGTTTCTTCGTTTCGCTAAATTATACCGTGTTGTCTGGCGTCTGGGAGGAAGAAATGTTTACACATTCCTAACTTGATAAAGACGATTCTGCCGTCGTGTTCTGCCATTCCTTTTCGTATCTCATCTCGCGAAATTATGATATACGTTTTCTAATATTTCCCCTTTTTTAATTGCAATACATATTTCATTTATCCAGCCGACGAATTTTTATTTGTATTGTCAGACGAATACTTGTATCCATTGTAACCGATATATTTCAATTCCTATATAAAAATACTGAGCGCGGAATCAAAAATTCACTGATAGTAATTGGTGTAACATATTATTTTGAATCTTGTTTATTTGTGAAATTATAAAAGATATCAACAATAATAACTGGATTATTAATCGGAAAATATAACTGGATTATTAATCAGTTTCACATATGTATCCTTTTTTCTCTTTAATTTGAGAAAAAATTAGCTCCATTCTCTATTCCATGCAATGCCTCATATGTAAAAGCCGCTAAGACCAGATAAGGAGAACTCAATCATAGAAGCCCCCAATTGCGATGCGACAGAAAGAAATAACATTTTGGAAAATAAATTTCTAAACATTTTATCTTTTGCTCGACAAACTGTATAGTCGTGAAAAAGTAGAATTAAAAAAAGGGGAAAAAAGTTATAGCTGAAAATGTTTGTTTATAGTTTATATATATGTGGGAGTTATGATTTTAGCCGCCTAGGATCATAGTAATCTTTCTTTAAAGTCATTTTTTCGAAATTTTTGAAAGAAAATAATTTTAAAATAAGCTGTTGGCATTTAAAGCATAAAAAAGGCTATTAGTATATTTTCAAAATAAAGGCTATTTGTATTTACACAAATATATCGGTAGCAAAAATTTGAATAAGGTGCGCATTTTGAATATTGCAATGTTAAAACTCTTTAATAGGAGCTAATATACATAAAAAGCCGTTAAAATCCAATTAAAATAAATTAAAAAATAATAATAAAGTGATATATGAAACATATTATATATCATTTAAATAATAATCATTTTTACACATGAAATCTGTGCATTTCCAATAACTCTAAAGGTTTGCCGGATATATATATTTAAAATATGCAGGAAATCATAAAAGTTAATTAATAAATTTTTTTTCTTTTTCTTCGATAGGCACGAAAGAAATCGGCGGTGTGGCGATCCGGAATGAATACTGCCCTATTGCTGGTTTATATCACTTCAAATACAGCCTCAACAATAATTCCGCGATATCATTCGATCGCGAAGAAAAAAAGATGATAAAAGTGATTTGACAACAAGCGAAAAATGTCGAAGCTTTTAGATGAAAACGTGGTGTGGAATTTCAGTTACTTCCTGCTTATAGATCGGGTCTTATTGTAGCACCGATGAAAACCGCGGGAGAGCTATTTTGAAGAGATTTTTGTGAATAAAGGATACCTGCGGATTTCATCCTTTCGGGATTCATGAAAATCCCGGCCACCTTATATGATCACGTTCAAATGTATTTTAATAAAACTCACAATGGAGGAATCCATGTGGGTTGGGATTCTCAAAAATCGAGTGTAATTCTGAAAATATTAATGATTGTACTTTACCAGAATTTTTCAGAAACTTAAGTTATATTCTCTAATTAATAAATTTTAAAAGATTTTATTAAATGAACTGTGTACTACTATGTTTTCGAGAAAATATAGACACAAATATATAAATCTGGAATATATGTATATAAAATATATATATATATATATATATATATATATATATATATATATATATATATATATATATATATATATATATATATATATATATATATATATATATATATATTTAAAATATGCAGGAAATCATAAAAGTTAATTAATAAATTTTTTTTCTTTTTCTTCGATAGGCACGAAAGAAATCGGCGGTGTGGCGATCCGGAATGAATACTGCCCTATTGCTGGTTTATATCACTTCAAATACAGCCTCAACAATAATTCCGCGATATCATTCGAGTGCAACACATTCTCTTCCGAATTTAATAATTGCCCGGATGGTTCGATCTTACATTTGAACTTCAAACGATGTAACTTCGAAATGCACAGTAAGTTTTCCTTACAAAACTTCTTCGCGATTTTTAGATATGACAGAAATGAAAAATAAACGTATTATTTTAAATAATTTATAGTAAATATATATTATTTTATACGTATATATTTGTATGTGAGAGAAACAATTCATATTCTTTTTATAATTTTTTTTTATATGAGTTTTTAATTTGAGTAGTAAAAAACTAATAGCACGCTTGAAATTTTATAAATTAGATTTAACTAACAAATATTATTATTAGTAAAATAAAATGTGTTGTTGTGTGTTAAATACAATGTATCATTATTATTACCAACTGATTGATTATCGTAATTGAAGCAGTAACAGAAAAGTTGCGAATTCTGAATACATCATTATAATCTCGTTCCAGCAGATCTCACATACAATTGTTTGGGCAGTTGGCCTGGACCAAACGGTTCTAATTATCTGGCTCTCTGGAACAAAAATACTGATGATGGCAGACCTCAATATAGATGCGGGGTACGTTACACGATAATTAATCATCTCATTTCATAAGACGGCATTTTAGTTTATTCATAAAGAAATACTTGAAAAACTATTTGTTCTATTACATTACAAAATGATAAATATAAAATATTTATTGTCAATAATTTAATGTAATAATTAATAGATTTGAAAAAATCTATATCATATATTATAAATTTTAAGTTTTATTATGTGTATATGTATATACGTTTTGCATAAAAATTATCGATAAATAAAATGTAATTTTTAGCTATTCCACGTTGATAATAAAAAAGGAAAGACTTATATGGCGTTTAGTAGTGACTCGAGCTGCACAGAAGATTTAAATAATTCAACTAGCGGATATGAAACTTTGATTTTAAGTAAAAGTCCAAATCAAAAGAAGGTGCCAGATTATGTGAAGACTCATGTTGCCACGTGAGTATTTTTCAATAATTATTTTGATATCATTAGATATTTTGTTTTGTGATAAAATCACGACACATTGGATCACATTGGATAAAATTATGTATTTTACTAATAATATATTAACATAATTATAATAAAATCGGTATGCTTTCCTAAAATATCAGATTCCCAAAGTGGGCGCAAGGTGTGTGGGAGGAGTCCCTTATAGTTAATGGAACTATGACTTTCACCGATCTCAATGGCTACAATAGTTATACCTTCATTACGGTGGAGTCTAACGAGGAGACTGGTCGATATGTTGTATATTCGAAAGATCAGTGGTGAGTCAATTTGATTACTATTTACATGTGCACATTTTATTGAAAAAAAAAAAGAAATATAAAATTCTCTTTCTCTCTCTCTGAAATAAATTTGTTGTTAGATACTCTGTAACATCTTTACATTCTAAAATAGCGTCACTATTATCTAATTGATAGCAAAAGTTAAAATGAAACAAAACATTTATTTTTAATTTCAGCGAGCAAGCTGCCTTTGTGTGCTTAATGATGAGACAACGCAGTGAAAATGTACTAGAATTTACGATAGGTAATTACTTCCATTTCGTACAATTCTTCATTAAGCAGCAATTTTATTATCGTTAATTGTGATTTTTCAAGAACTTTCAATATTCAAGAATCCAAGAATATATAAGAATCTAAAATATCTATTGTAATAAAATTTTAATAAAATTGAAATAATATAAAATCCATAATAAGAAGATAAATTAAAATAACAATAAAAAACATATAAGTCTGGATATAAATAACTATACAATATCACAACTGTGAAAGAAATCTTTTTCTACTTTTTATTAATCTATTTTTGACGGATTTTCACTTGTTTCGTATAATATAACAAAAATAATATATTATTCAATACACATAGGGATGGTCTTTAGTCCAGTTCATCGCGAAAATTTATGCGACGATCCCAATTTGGATAAACTGGTGTGGATGACTCAAGCACGTAAGTTAAAATATATATTACATCTTTATGAGTTACCCTTCTAGTAAGATTTTTTGCATTCTAATACTTATATTCTAATATTAAATCGCATATTTTTTAAATGCACAATTATTATCATTGAATGTGATAATGTTTTGTAACAAGGTATCGAACGCGTAGTGGAGTCACCTTGTCCAATTACGGGTCAGTATACGGGGATGATAACGGACCTGTCAGGAATGTGTGCGGAATTAAGCAGCAACTGCAACACTCGTGAAATAATGTATTTTAAAGTGAGCGATTGCGAATCCGGAGAACTGTACGAAGGTATGTATACAATTATAAAATGTTGAAACCAAATTAAAAAAAAAAATAAATTAAAACGCGTTAGAAAAATATTGCTGTATAATACTAGAAATATTGTTGCAAAAATGTAACTATATAATCTGATAGAAATAGTTATATTTTTTTTCAAAAATCAGTTATCATATTTTTCTCTTATAATTTCTCTAGTTCTCTGGATACATTTTAATAAAAATAAATCTTGTTTTGAGTAAAATCAGATTTTAAAATTTATACAAAAATGTTTTTCTTTCTAAAGTACTTCCGAGTGTGTAGCTTTTACGCATTGCTTTTAGAGCGAACATATTTATGCTTGGGGCAGTGGGAGGAGAAAGGCGTGATGTATACTTACACCATGAGAAACGATACTAATACGAACGAATGCTTCGTGGGTCTGATCGTCAACGATGAAGAGATATATATCAAAGAAGCTGGCGATCATTGCATACGAAATATAGATCCCAAAAAGGAGGGTATGCGTCTCTACAAAAAGGGTAAATATCCTTATAAAATAGCACTTATTGATGTATTCCGTTTATATTTTCATTTCATGATTTTTAATTTGTAACTGGATATTTATTGTATATTCATGTAAAGTCAGTCATATAAGAAAATATCCTGAATGAATGAAATGATATGAATGAAATCATTTTTTTCCTTATAACTATCGTACCAACGATAGAGATAGAGAATTTTTATGTTATGATAATGTTATTTAAGGACAATGTTATGGGAACTCGCCGAGTCCTGCACCTACTGTGTTGAAACCGATCCCTCATAATCCAATAATGAGGATTACGACAACTCCGCGATCGAGATTATCGGGTAAGGAAAGACTATATCATTCAGCTATATTTACAATCTATTCAGATTAAGATTAATTAAATAGAATGTAATCAATTAAAAAGTTCATTTAATCTTGCTTATTATGATAAAAAGTCAAATATTATTGTTAAACAATGAGTGAATATTTGATTTTTTCTTTTGACAGGAACTACTCGAGTGCCAGGAAATACAGTTTCCTCGTCAGCTTCTTGCAGATCGAGAACATGCACGAATTTCGCACTCCTCATCGTCACCGTCTTCATCGCGTTCCTCGAAGCAGCTTCCTCGTATAAACTTAAATAATGACACTCTCTTTCGGACTCGATAGTTACCGATGTAGATAATGAATATTGATATTTCGATGCACATTTTTGTTATTTTTGTCTGGCGGATAATTGAGAGGTGTGAGAAGATCGGTTATTTATTACAAAGACCGACTTGAAACGATATTGTAGAAAGTGTAGAAAATTTTTATATCGTGTTTACTTTTTATTTTCTCATCGCACACATATCACTCCGCGTTTTGCGAAAGAAATTACTTTTTTCATAGAATTATAGAATTGAATGAGAACGTTTGCCGTTCCATCGAGTAAGCTGCATAGAAAATCTTACAAAGGAGAAAAATTTCAATGAATTCAGATATTTTTTAATGATTTTGAAGAAAACGCAAAAGAAATAGAGCTAAAACTGTATTATAAACTCTTTATCGACGGTAAAGTTGTGATTGATCGCTGTCTTTTTTATGTACTGTGGTTATTACTATTTATTTAACTAGTTTTTTAATAGATAAATACGGGAGATTAGGTCTCGACAGTCATATTTTTATATACTGCTTTGTATGATGCAAGAAGTTTCACGCGAGACTTTCATTCACGAAAATCCAAAGAGCAGCTGCCTGCATACAAATAAATAATGATTCTTTTACGAAACAAACATCACAAAATATAAATGCGATAGTAAAAAAGTACTTGACTACAATTTTGTAAATAATTACGTAATATTAAATTTATTTTATTTTCTGAAAAAATGCATTCAAAGATAAAATTTTATAATAATTGACATTAAATTTTTTTAAATTAAATAAAACAGGTCACATAGGTGTCTCTTACCACTTAGTGAAATAAGACCACAAGTGAAATAAGATATTTCTTAAAATTCTGTAGAGCAGAGAAAATAACAAGCCATAAATAAAATAAATATAGCTTTTAACGAAAGAATATATGAATTATACAGTTTCAAAGACTGACAAAGTTATTATTTTAATATGTTTCAATTTCTAGTTTCCTTTCTTCTCTATTAGAGATAAATGACTTCATCAGATATATATATATTATATTAAGTATGAGAAGAGAAATGTATCATTGCGAAAAATACATATCATCGAATTCTATTAAGGAATAAAAAATTACAAACTCCGTGTAAGTGCTAAAAAGATAAGTTAAGAAGATGAATGAAAGCGTGCCTCATGCTTTGTATTAATTACAAGATTTCAGAATTGAAATGTATTTTATCATATTCGCTTAGACAAATGTCCAAATATGAAATTAAATATCTAATACTAAGAAAGAAAATCTATACATAAAATATAATAATAAAAAGCAAAAGAAAAATTAATTTCCAATTATATGACAGAGCGATTTAAAAAAATGTTCTTTAATGATAGAATATTTTTTATGTAAAAATGTAAATTACAAAATTAATATTACATAAAAATATAATATTTATCATAATCGCGTTTATAAAAGATCGATACTAAATTTATATCTATGCTATTCGTGATTCTAACTTGCTCTTATAGTTAAACTAATATAATAGTTAAATTAATATAAAAATGGAGATAGATGTACATAATGTGTAAACTTATTAATTATTTATTAGTGTATAATATCGATAGTGTAAAACATTTTACGAAAAATATACATTTATTACTTTTGCCTAATTACAAAATTGTACAGAAAATTATAACTAGTAATATAAACTTTATGTCACCGACAATTCAGTTTCACGTTTTTATAAGTGCGTTTCTTGGGTATGTAACTTGTATTTAATATAAATAATAACAAAAATAGTTTACTCTTTGTAATTATTATGAAGGATGTACAGTTGTATAAATGAGAGAAGCAAGCAATAATAAAATGTGAGATGTGTTACAGAATAAAAATTACTTAAAATAAGATTTAAAAATAAATCGCAATAGATACATATTACTGTTTCCGCGAAATATAACTCAAAGAATCATCAGAAACTATTAAGGTACAGAAATATAATTTTTCATTGAAGTATGTGACTTGCATAATGAAAAACTCGGTTTCTATTTATATTTACATTTACAATTATGTATAAGTATTTAGCAGAATTATATAACTGGCCGACATATACAAAAAAATGTACTATAAATATATCTGACAATAATTGATATCTTTAAGAAATATTTGGTACCAAAAGAGGGATCTTTATAGGATATGCATGTGTGTTCACTGTATTTTATTATACTAACGAAAGGAATTTTGTACTTTTACATGATCCATTGTATGTTAGAAAAATTAATCTTTATCGCCAATATATGTGTGCGATTTATATTACATGTCTAAGATAAAAAAAAAAGAACTTATGTAATATGTTTTTAATTGATTATGTATTATTCACATTCTTTTTTAAGATATTTGATAGCAGAGAGAATAAAAAAAATCGTATGTATATGAATTGTACGAACTATCTACAGTTAAACATACATTGAATATAAGGGTAACTACAAAATAAAAATAAAAAGCTTTAGATGAATACAAATAAATGCAAAAATATGTATTATATATATGTATATATGAGTAGAAAATAATTAAATATTTGTAATATTTTATGCTACATATGTGTTTGTTTTCATGTTCCAAGACAGTTTCCTTCCACTCTACTCCCTAGCCATATTTACTGCTGCCATTCCTTCTGTTCATACGGTAGCACTATCTACAGTTAAACATAAATTGGATATAAGATGATATTTTTAAGAAACATTAACTAATTACGAAATAAAAATGTATTATATTCACATTTTTTTTTCATATTTGATAGCAAAGAAAATGAAAAGAACTCATGTATACATATATAAATTATACGACTGACTGTCTATAGTTAAATATAACTTGGATTTAAGAGTAATTGCGAAATAAAAATAAAAAGCTTTAGAGTAATACAAATAAGTACAAAAATATGCATTATACATGGTGTCTGATATTGATTGTATCACCTCTCGTGTGCAGGTAAGCAGGTAAAACAAGAAGAAAAGTCCTAGCAACCATGCACATATCAATGGGGCTTTCTTGCCGCGCGTTAATACTCGCGCGAATTGGCCGATCTTTTTTAATTAATTTCTCAATAATTATTACGAATATCACAAAATGGTAAAGGACTTTTCTCCTCGATTTCACCTATTCTACGAGGTGATATAGTCAATATCAGACACATATATATATATGAGAATAGAAGAATAGTAGATTTGTAAAAAGCTTTAGAGTAATACAAATAAGTACAAAAATATGCATTATACATGGTGTCTGATATTGATTGTATCACCTCTCGTGTGCAGGTAAGCAGGTAAAACAAGAAGAAAAGTCCTAGCAACCATGCACATATCAATGGGGCTTTCTTGCCGCGCGTTAATACTCGCGCGAATTGGCCGATCTTTTTTAATTAATTTCTCAATAATTATTACGAATATCACAAAATGGTAAAGGACTTTTCTCCTCGATTTCACCTATTCTACGAGGTGATATAGTCAATATCAGACATATATGTATATATATTTATATGAGAATAGAAAATGATTAGATTTGTAATGTTTCATACTATATATGTTGGCTTTCATATTCTAGGATGGCTTCCTTTCTTTCTACTCCCCAAGCATATTTATTGCTGCCATTCTTTCCTTTCACACGATGACATGGTACAATGTATGCAATATAATTCTTAGAAATTGCAGTTCCCACTGCTATTGCGGCTTTAGGATTATCAATCGTCTGCGCGATCTTTTCATATGTAGTGATCGTTTCCTTAGGGATATTTATCAAAGATCTCCACACCTTAATTTGAAACTCTGTACCTTTCATTAGGACACGAATAGAATGCAGGTGAGATGTGTCAGGATGAAAAATTTTGTCAATAACAGTCTTTGTTTTGTTTTCAGTATCTTTTAATGTTTTAGTCTTTGGCCATTTCTGCTTTAGAATTTCCAGAGCTTTGCTCTCGTCCTCGTCGACGAACCCTAAATAAGTTACATCTTTATCGGTGTCAGTTATAGCGATGAGACATTTCCCGAAAGGTGTTTGGTGGAATGCATACAACTGTTGGAACGTCGTATATTCGTTCTTGTATTCGTCTATCGTTATACTTCGAAATAAAACCATGATTATGAAACAATACTTGACAAATAATGTTAGATTTATCTTGAACAGTTCTGAACTGCATCAATCGTTTATTTCATCACATATATTTGATGAAAGAATAGGCGCAAGCGCAGTAGCAGAGTAGCATTGATTGGCCGAAAGTTGTACGTTATATCTACTTTATAGCCTTTCATTCACTAGTACAATGGACAAAAGAAAAAATTTATTAATGGTAGCAATAGGCTCAGGGTAAGAACAATTAAATGGGAAATGAGCAGAAGAGCCAAGGTACGGGTATCGATGCGCGAACTCATTCGCCTTGGCTCTTATCGGCTAGTTTCCCACTTGTCTGAAAAGTTATATATGAGAATATATAAAGGTAAAAATATTAAAAGTATTATAAATTAATATTCTCTTGGAATGTTTATAATACATTTTTATTTAAAAGTAATGTATATTTAAATATGCAGATTAAGAGCTAGATATTCACAAGATGTATACAAAACATATAAAATATGACTTACATAATATTTTCAGTACATCAAAAAGCTTTATTACAACTCCCTATTTAATGATGAATTGTTTGATGAAAGCAGGTGTTGCATTAGCATTAACACGACACAAAATCCCGCGACTTTTTGCATCAGTTAACAATGCATTCCACATTTTATCCTTCTGTAAAACAAAGATTTATTCGATTTAAATTGTAAAAAAATATAGAAAAACAAAAAATTTCTAAAATTCAAGTTCAGAATTATTCTTTGTTTACCAAAAAGGTATTAAAATTTCCACATAATATTAGGCTGTGTTTAGCTCTTGTGAGTGCTACACAGAGTCTTTGTTTGTCTGACAAAAATCCAATACCATGGCTTCTCACGCAAGACATTATTATAACATCTCGTTCTTGACCTTGAAAACTGTCAACCGTATTAACTTCAAAGTTAATTTTCTTTTTCAGATTATCCGATATAGAAGATATCCTGAAAGGTATCAGTCTTGTAATAAATTTGCAAATTTATCATAGCAAAGGAAAAAACAATCATTGCTTTCACAACTTACTTTTCGTTTATTTTATACAATATAAGCGTCCTTTGATTGTTGTATGGTGTGATAACTCCGAGAGAAATAGTATCGCTCGTATTCTCCCAGTTTGCAAACATCAGCATAGCGAGAATAATATTTGCAACAAACTCTGCTTCGATGGTGTTGGAAAATTTGTCTTTGTTTTGTATGAAATCATGATCCAACACTCTATAGGAATGAAATGGGAAATTCATTCTATGTTCAACCATGTTTCGCAATCTTCCATCATAGAAATATTTATTCGGCCAATACGAGATGGCGTAATCCATACGATATTGCATGTTCAACATTATTATAGGATTTTTCTGTTGCATCGCGAAAGCGTTCTGTATCCTCGAAAATACCGATTGATCTAATCCCAGTTTCTTCGCTTGCTGACTCAAGATAGTCGCTGGCAATTGATTTGGATCACCAACCAGGACCAGCGTTCTCACTCCCAACATCAATGGTATCAGGGTCTCCGCTTCGCAGCTTTGTGTTGCTTCATCAACAATGCAGACAGATATTCTTCCCTTGTAGCCCCCAAAATTGGATTCCATTTGATTGGTGTAACAGGACGAAAGCGTACAAGCGATTATATCGGCGCCATCAAGAATTATGTTTTCCGACATACGCTGATATTTAGCACGATCTTTTGCATTGAACTCATTAATAGGTTTGCCACGTTTCAGTATTTCATGTCTCGTCGACGTTTCCACTAGTTTTCTATTTAATTCTTTCTTCTTCTCTTCATCTTTATTTTGGCAACTTGCGAGCTCGGCTTTAAGCGAATTAATCCGTGCTTCTAATATCGCTATATCTTCGGTATTGTCCGACCTAACTGCTTCCTGCGTCATTTTCGTCAAGTGTCGCTTTGCCAATTCCGTCACGGAAATGGGTTTAGTCATTGGATGCATATATTCCGATCGGCCAATGCGTACCATATTGAAACGTTTCTTTTTTAACTTAGACCTGATGTCCAGAAGCCTTAATACAATTTCGTCGATGGCGGCATTAGACGGTGCACAAACTAGAATCCTCAAGGATTTCCGGTTTGTGTGCTCGCCATGTAATATTTGAGTCACCAGGTTCACAATCACTTTAGACTTGCCGGTTCCTGGCGGTCCTTGAATAAAACATAGTTTAGCCTCTTTTTTTAGTACAGTTTCTGTTACTCTGAATACAGCCTCCATCTGTTTCGGATTCAAATCGTCTCCCGTGACTAGTGAGGAACATGTAAAGTGCTGATCCATCAACGGCAATTGATATTCTTCAATTTTTGGATTCACAATTATTTTCGAGAGGGGTGATTGAGGAAGATATTGCAGTGCTTGTACCATTCTTATATTTGCTCGTAGATACATAACCGTTCGGAGTCTTTGCACTCTATTTACAGAGATATTGTGCTGGAGAGGTCGCATGAACAAAGTATATGTTATCATAGCATATGGATTTTTGACATATTTCCTTAGATCCTGGTTGTAATGCGTGAAATCCCTGATAATCGTTTGTTGCATGTTGATAACATACGCGAATGTCCTGTTGACAATGGGTTTTCCATGTACATTTGTGATATACTCGAAGCACACTAAATCGCCATAAATGGGATGCAGTTTATTGAAATCCTCTTTTTTAACTAACACCTCAAGTTTCAGAGTTGTCAGGAATAAACTGGTCGATGGTATAGGAGTAGATGTAGGATTCTCGACTACGGAACACACCATTGTAGCACGCTGTTTATTCTTCTCAATCATTTCAAACTCTTTGGTCATTGCGCACCATATCTCATGTAGTAGGAGAGGCATCATGATTTCATAATACTGTTTATAGGAATCATAGCTTAACCTCATAGTTTGAAGTTCGCATTGCGGTACAATCGGCGGTATCGTCTTCAAATATCGTTGCTCTTCGAGCCACACCGGATTCCACTTGAAAATGCATAGTAGAAATTCTTCCAATTTCGGACTCCATTCTGTACTGGCCGTAGATGTTCTTAATTTATTCACAGGTATAGGTGCATCTTTTCCTACTAATTTCTTTAAAGAATTACACTGATCGATTTCGTATTCTCTTATTTCTGATTTTTCGAGAAAAGTCACAGTCTTCTTTTTTTTAAATTTAAGGCTCGATTTCACATTGTTCAATGAAAAATTTTCTTTTTGCACCACAGCAGGATCATGTTCAGTTGATCTATCTCGTTCGGATATCTTTACATTGCTTCTTTTCATCTCCTTGCTATAGCTGCCTTTTTTTCCCCTACTATCTATCATTTTGGAGTCCTGTTTGCTACTCTTAGGTGCTTGAATAGTATTCATATTATCCAATTGTAAAGACTGTTTTAACGATGTGGATATAGCGTTTATTGTATCTTTAGAAACGTCATCTTTTTGACATGATTTCTGTGTTCCGATGTTAGAAGTTGAAGATTTCTTCAGCACATCAGCTTTATCCGTTAATCGTTCTTTAAATTGCTTATTATTATTCGATTTTGGCAAGTTCGTGGATTTATTTGGAAGTGATTTAGATGTTGCGGGTTCTTGCTCATTGATGAGAAAATCGCCTCGATTTTTCAATGATACTTTAGCTATCGCTTTCGCAGCTCTGCGCTTAATATTCTTGTCATTATCGGCGGACAGTTTCTTTTTTTCTTCAGCAATCTCTTTCAATTTCATTTTTCTCTTTTCGATTATCATTTTTTTTTCATCTTTAGAAATAGTTTTTGTTTCACTTGATGAATGGCAGTCAGTCATCGATTTAGATGTTTTTTCACGATGCTTATGTTTTTTAATATAAAAGTTATCATTAATTTTTTCTCTTAATTTCGGCATTTTCTTTTCTTTTATTAACTTTGAGGGTGATTTTTCTTTAACTTTTTGTGCTTTATCTTTGCTACTATTGATTCGTCTTCTTATAGGTAAATTTAACGGTTCTATTACTGGAATTAATCGTTTTGTGACTGACTTTTTTGCAACTAACTTTTGTTTTGTACTCTCTACATGTAATGTTTGTTTATCTAATTCTGTATTTATCTCTGCATCAGTTTTTCGTTTATTTGCATCATCAGTATTTTTCGGACTAGGCTCGGTAGAAGAATCGACATCATCTATCGCTTTCATTTCTGTCGTCAGTAAGTTATTATTACTATTACTATCATCACTATTATTATCTATTACTGTCATGTTATTATTCCTATTACTATTATTATTATTATTACTAATATTTTCTAATTTCTTAGACTTGTCGTCTATATTTGTATTTATATTAAAAACATCATCATTTTGTTTCCAAATTCCCAAATCGATTTCATCTTTTACAACTGCATTATTAGAATCAAACTTTTTATCCTCGTTAGAGAGTTGACTTCTAGATAATCGTTCCAACCATGGATTATCTTCATCTTCACTGTCTGTTAAAAAAATGACTTCGTCATCCACATCGTCAATTTTTTCAATATTTTGATCATCATTGTTAATGTCTTCTTGTTTGCTTCCATTCTCTGTATTATCTTCATATTTGATATCAAATAATTGGGAACATGGAAACACTCCTTCTTCGTCATCACTTAAATCAATAACATCAATTTCTGAAAATCGTGTCTTTGGTTCATATTTCATTTTTTTCAATTTTATCAATGATGTGTCACAAGTCATGTTAACAGATACTATAGATGCTTCTTCATCATCTTCTGTTATTTGCTCATCTTCCACTATAATAATTTGGTCTTCGGATTGTACAAAGTTTGAATTCTTCGGGAGATATAATGTATCATTTGTTTTATCAGTACTATTTGATTTTTCTTTTTCAACAGCTGTTTTATTTGGGTTTTTATTACTATCATCACTTTTATCTTTACTATTCTCATCAATAATTATATCCATTTCTTCATTAAAATTCGATTTATTGATATCTAAACAGTTAGCAGATTTATGATCTTTAATATCTCGATTCTTTACTTCTTGTGCGAGAGATGTGTGAATTATTTCAATGTCATCTTCTATTTCCATAGCCACAATATGAGATGTAGTTTCTGTTGAATTATTTGTAGTACTACTACTGGCTAAAATTTGGTCGTTACAAGAAAAATTCGAATTATTTTTTTCTGCAACAAAAATTTCATTAATTTATTTAATTTAAGAATGAAATTGACTACAGAATTTACATTACAAATAGAATGTTTCTTTTGGTTGTCTACTACTAGAAAAAATAAGAATTTACCTTTTGATAGAGTAACTTCAAAACTATGTGTATTTCTATCTGTATTTTTTGATTTTTTATTTGGCACTTGAATATCACAATCTGAATTATATCCATGTTTTTTTCCTAAAATACGTTCTGCAGGAGAAGTAAATATTGCTGGCAGTACATTATCATTTAAAACTGTGCTTGATAAAGCACTAATTTCTACTTTTTTGTCAAGAGAGAATGACTAAAAAAAACCAATAATAAAGTTTTAATAACACAGAAATATTTTTGCTACAAATATTAAATATTATTCCTATAAACATCCTACCTCAATGATGCAAACTTTGTAAGTATAGAATGTATTATTATTTGGATCAGCATCTGAGCAACCAATTCCAATAATGTCATTCTCACATAGTTTGACCATCTGATGAGATTTTTGTATCACACCATTGATATAAACACCATTTGAGCTCTGATAAAACTCCAAAAGTTTTTTAATATTCTTCAAAAATTGATAATGTTAAAATGATTATGTTTTATACATACTTTTAAATCTGTGATATACAAATCATCATTGTTACGAATAAATATGCAGTGTCTACGGGATACAAGTAGGCTAAGGCAAATAATCATATTCTCCTTGCTTCTACCACAGCTATACTGAAAAAATTTAAACATAAATGTGTTAAAAGAATTTAGAAGAAAAAAAAGTTTTATATATATACATATATAATAGAAAGAACATTTAAGTTAAATTAATAATGCTTAAGATTAACTTTGCATCATATAATAAAGTTAATGTGTTTTCAAATCAATATCAAAGCAAAAAATTTAAATAAAAGTTAAAATTTTATGACTGCTTCAATGAAAATTTTACTTCTCTATGTATATGACACACACAGCTTTTTTTTTGTAAAAATCTTGTATAAATATTTTACTTACAGATTGATTGGGCATACCGAAGACAAAGCGCGTTTTATCTACATTGTGCAGCCGTTCTATCGCGAAATCCATCCTGCGTAATTGCGTATCCCAAAAAAAAAAAAATATATCGTTTTTATACAAGGAACACTCACAATCTCATGTTAACCTTGTGAACACGAAAATGCTTTTATATGCTTTGCACATGTTTTCACGCTTGTTTTTTTTTACCGTTTTGACAAAAAGAAATGAAATATAGTAATAATTTTGTCCATCAACCACGCTTTATCTAACATTTGATTCAAAATTTTCAATTTAAAACATAACTTCCACTTTGTTTACTTATTTCAAAGAGAGGAAATAATAAGAGAATGCCAGCGGTTTTTGTGGGACGCTTTTTTTAGGCCGTAGAGCAGCGCCGTGCATCCACTTTTCGGTACTGTCGGTCAAATCCCCATATGGTTCATGTCCGTGCTATATCCACTTTTCGATACTGTCGGTCATTTGGTTCATATCCGTGCTACATCCACTTTTCGATCGTTTCGATAGTGGTAGTACACTGTACACTGATCGCTTGACAAAAATAGATGATCGCGCCGTCTTTGTCTCTCTTTCATCGCGTATGTGTGTAGTATCCGTAAGCCGTAAAGGCACACACCGATACATTGAGTACATGGATGCGATCGTTGAAAGATAAATCTAGACAAGGAGCGACAATCGCGTGCTGTCCTTGTTCTTCTAACGTATCGCTTTCATAGACGTATAATATATAAACTGCGCGCTGCGCGTCTCTACATCTCCCGTATTCAGAACGCGTCAAAAAATAGAAAGAAACAGCTGCTGTACGATCACCAATCTGTCTTTGTCTGACTGGGAAAGAGAAAAGTAGAAGGGATGGAAAAGATGAAGATAGGAAGGGGAATGCCTTTGTTTCCCGATAGAAAAACATGTCGGAAGGAAGTAAGAAAGAAAATCATAGTTGCCTCTCTCTTGTGAGTTACTTTGCTCAAAAGTGCGCATGCGCGGCCATGTGTGTGTACACAAAAGTATGTATACTACAGACACGATGCTTGTATGTGTAGTTACTCACAAGAGAGAGGCAACTACGATTTCTTTCTCACTTCCTTCGACACTTTTCAGCCTGCTATTCCCCTTCCATTTATATATGTTCTAAGGCTACAACCCTGCCGAAAATGGTCGATTAAATTTGAATATAAAAGCAAAAATTTGATAATAATTTTTTAATATGCAAAATGCTTCAAATTTATTAGATAAACTTTGAGGATATATAAAGACATCCAAGAGAGACGAGAAAAAACTCGTAATTGCATAAATTCACAATCTTTTTTTCTTATAGCAACATATTTAAATATTACAAATATATTGCACCGTAACATTACTGTAGTCTTACATTGTAATATTTCTAAGGACGGACATTTCAACGTTGCCGCAGGCTTGCAGTAACATTGCAGAAACATTTCGCAACTTCCATGCAATATTACAATGTTTCAATGTAAGGTCTATGCAACGTTTCTGCAATCTTTCAGTGTTGTATGGGTATAGTTCGTTCGGAATTAAAATCGATTACTCTTTAATCCGGGCGCGGATTGAACCGATTAAGAGGATGCCGGACCGTCCTGTTTTACCGACCATAATAATTATATATTTGCTTAATATAAAAGTTTTGGCAGTTTGTATGTACAAAATAAGATAGGTTCCCACTCGGAAATGCATGAAAGAATATAAGTGAACGTTTGAAAATATATTTAGAAGCCTAGTAAAAAACATTTCGGTGTGCAAAATTTTTGAACACCGAAATGTTTTTTACTAGGCTTCTAAATATATTTTCAAACGTTCACTTATATTCTTTCATGCATTTCCGAGTGGGAACCTATCTTATTTTGTACATACAAACTGCCAAAACTTTTATATTAAGCAAATATATAATTATTATGGTCGGTAAAACAGGACGGTCCGGCATCCTCTTAATCCTCAACACTCGGTCTAGATATACTATGTCTATGGCCGGTATTCATAGTCCGTTCTTTTATTTAAGATCGTCTTAAGTACGATCTTAAGATACTATGCGGCCATTTCATTGGTTGAATGGGATCTTAAGACGACCCAAGACCACACTTAAGACGATCTTGGATATAAGAACGGACTATGAATACCGGCCTAAGTCTTACTGCTTAAGTTTTTCTATGTGCCACGGCCCTAACCGCCGGTCAGTTCTAGAAAGTTACTACTGCGCAGCTGCCTAGTTCTAAATAAAACCTTCTGATTGGTCGGTCCAAAGAATCTTTAATTCCTTGCGCAATCGATTATTACTAGTAAAAGAACTAAAATATAGTTAATTTCTAAGTCAAATAATTATATGGAACTAGAACAATAAGCAATTAGTGAAATTGATTAATAACGGAAATAAGAGGAAATGGTTAAATAATTGTTCTATATTCCATAAGCATAATGCAGAAATAGGTGTGGTACTTAATTATTAGTTAAAATATGGCTTTGAAAAATGACGAGACGTCACACACCTGAAAGATCTCCGCAACTATGAGATGATTAATTCATTAGTTATTATTTCATTTATATATTTTTTTTATTTTTTACTTATAAAAAATTAATTATTTATTTTTGTTTATTTAGATAATTTAAATAAGAGAATTAAAGGAAATCGATTTTTATATTTATAAAATTTTATAAAAATCTATACTTAAAAAGAAATATCGTACATTTTTTATTAATTAGAAAAAATTAGAAAGAAGCCACTTTTAAAAAAGGCATATCTTAAAAATGATAAATCGATACTCAATTGTATCAAAGTTCTCTTAAAAGTCTCAAAGTTTATTGTTGCTTTTTTTCGATCATGATAATTAGTTTTCCATTGTGAGTAAAACTGTCATCATCGAAATCATATATTTTGATAGTTCGGAAACAATCAATAATAGCAACGTAAGTATAATTATATTCGCATAAGTTTAATATACACACACATATATATACATATATATAAATTATTTTAAGCGCTGTTGTAATTTTTGAATCTTATATTGATATATTTTGCAAATCAACGTAAAACTTCAATACGGCCCAACTCCTCTGTTGCGTATCGATAGGTACAAATTCGAAGAAACTGAGAAGAAGGAAGATAAAGAAAGACCATCATAGGGCGGAAAAGAGAGACAGATATGAGGAGAGAATGCCTACGTATACGAGTAAATGAGAGAGTGGGTAATTGAAAGATCGGGAGAAAAGAGGGATAGAAAGAAGCGACGAATAAAGAAAGAGGCAGATGAAACCGGACGACCGTGGAAGTGGTATCTCTTTGTACAGACGGTTCTCGAGCATCCGGTATTACTGGAGCGCGCACAGAGTTGAAAGTTTGCTTCGTTTTTTTTTTTTTATTCGCGTTGATTTGTATGTACGTGCGTCGTAAAGGAATATGTATGAATGACAGTTTCAACTCGCCTTCGCCGCATGTAAGTTTCGCGAGTTGCGTGAATACTACAATGAAATATATAAATGCGAGAGATAATTGCGTTAATAACGGCTTATTATAAAGGCGACATTATAAAATCGATTAGCCGAGATTGTTCTTGAAATTGTTTGCACAGACGTGTTGTCTGTTGAAACAACACTAACACGATCGAACGCCGATGAAGAGATACACGGACGACTCGCTTTTTAACTTTGCTCGAGGAAGACAAAAGAATCGGAGAATAAAAAGAAAAAAATGATCCAGATTGCAATTTATAAACTGGGTGAGTGCTAAATATGAATGAACGAATTGCTAAAATGTTTAATGATCTTATATTTACTTATTCTATGATGAACTAAATAAAATTTTACCATAGATATTTTATTATATAAAGAATAAATTAATTTGGGGATATATATAAAATGTTTATTTGCAAAAGGCTTATAAATATTTCAGATTTGATTTAAAAAATATAAATATTGAAGGATTTTTAATTTCTCTCTAAAGGATTTACTAATCCGATATTATTATATAATTACATATGATATCAAACATTATATAATCCGCGCTAAAATTGTAGCGATGTAAATTTCGATATACGATGATTCAGTACAAGGACAATTCAACACTGTCGTTAAACATAACATTTATTTCCGTTCTATCCGTATATTGAATAGCATTCACGTGGACACCAGCTGTTCGAGATTTTAAATCAGCTGACCTAGACGTAATATAAGATGAGTCGTAAAGAAAACTTGGAAAGAAGAATCAGCAAGTAAAATTGATTACAAACGTAATAATTTAGTTGTATATAAAAATTATACAGCTGTAAATCTTTGTAAGACAGATTATCCGAGTGAATTTAAAAAAGACTGACTTAAATACAATTTAAGATAATCTAAACAGGAGAAAAAATTCTTCTTCCAAAATCAGGCAAAAGAAAATAGTGATTGTGTATATATCAAAATTAGTGACAGTGAATTATATCCCAGAAAAAAACTGAAATAAATACAGACGCGAGTATGGCGTATTAAAAAATAGTTTTCAAGTGTACTTGAAAGGTAACGGAAGTGACAACCGGAGAGTAGTAATTTACGCGTAACGTCAAGCGATGTCTAAAGAGGAAATAATTAAAAGAGATTGCGTGTGTACGGTAAAAAAATAATTGTATTTCTATGCCACACATCATGTTCACGATAAGGTTCGTATTGCTCGGTACTTTGATGTTATCCTCGACAAAAGTGTCATCGAAATCGCATCTGGCAAAGTGTTGTCCGCCAGGAAAGATCTTCTCAGGGCATTCCACAGTGGAGTGTGTTTCGGTACCGAATAGCATGATAGAACTTTATGCTCTCCATCGAAATGTTACTGCGGAGTTCCAAGGACTTCCGCAGTGTGATGAACCCGAAGACATTGTAACAACACCACTCGACGATTTCGATTCCAATTTCTTAGAGGTAAATCGTTAACAATTGATTGGATCAATCTTTTTATCTTATAGGATCTTGATATTTTAATACTCTTGTGTCGAGGTAAAAATCAAGTGCTTTTAATTTAATTAGAAAGAGAAACGCGTTTATGATGAAATATATAATAGAGAATAGAAAATACAATCTTTTTATTAAAACTAAATAATATAAATTCCATTTCAATTACGTGAGTTACGCTAATTCTTGATTCTGAAAAAAGCCTCAATCTTTGAACTGAAATATCAATCACTCCCTTATAATTAGATATGAACTCCTTTAATTTACCTGAGTATATTTGGATGCGTTACGTTTTTCCATAGTACAAAAATGTAAATACTATGTGATAAGAATACTAAATTTTCTTCAAAAATGCAGAGAATATTGACAAAAAGGGATTAAATATATTTTTAATACCGTTTATATATACAATTTCGAAAAAAAAAAAATTGCATGTGCGCTTAGGAGTCCTTTTAATAGTATTTTTCTTAAAATTATTATTGCCGCGCCACGTAATCAAATATTGTCCAATATTTTGTCCAAATAATCCAATTTAAATTCTTATAATAATAGATTATAGGAAACGCTATATTAAATATAACGTTAAAAATATATCAAATCTTTCTCCATAAATTTAATAAATTGTTTGCAGGTTCCAGCTTGTCTCGAGATACTTTACGAGCAAATAACTGGAGAAAAGACCGTAATAATTGTTTATTGTCAATCAAATAAAGATCGACAAGTAAAAGCGATTAACACAGCCTTTACGCAGTTCGCAGTTAGAAAATGTTGCTCTCATAGTAGTATATTTGACAGCCGCACGAAAGCTTGCGTGCCTTGGCTAAACAAATCAGAAAGTCTCTTAACATTTTTATCAAATGGATCGGTTGATGTAGATTTAGTGGTGATAGCTAACGAAGGTCCACCTACGTGCAAAGGTCCGATCGTAGATTACGAGATTGACGAAGACGATATTTTCTTGCGAAACGGAACTTACTCGGTGAGCGAGGCGGCTAAGACTTTTAAAATAGTTTCTAAACTTTTTACGGTTGCATGTTCTTTCATTCATAAACAATTATCTCTATTATTACATAGAGATTTAATTTTCTCAAGTGAACAAATTATGTTCAATTATAAAAAAAAATTTGCAGATAATTTAATCTTCAATCTTGAAAAACAAATTTTAAGTCACATTTTTATTATAAAACAAAATTTATTATAAATTTATTATTTTCGTTCTCTAAATAGATTTTTTTTTTATCAAATGATGAATTTATTAATAATATTTTAATGCCATATTAAATTAACTTTCTGAGAATTCTGAGATGTAACTTTTCATGTATGTCTAAAGAAGTTTAGAGATGTTATAATATTTCACATAATTATCATTAGTTACATATTATAAGACTTTTTTAAAATATAAAAAACTTTGTAAAATGTTTTGTATATTATTCATGATTTTATATAATATAGCACGAAATTAACTGTTATTTATCTTTTGAATGCACGAATTAAAATAACATTAAATAGCAAATAATTTGGCAGATGATGGTTCCAGTGTCCAAAAATAATTATATCATCAAAGAGGAATTCTTTCTTACCGAGGATAACGCCTGCCTCGAAATGCTGCCAAATTCCATGTTTAATAGAAGATTAGTAGTCCGCGTTTGCAGAGATTCGAGATTCTGCGACAGAAACTCCTGCATTAGAAAGTGTTGCGCCGAGGACGAATTTTTTTATACTCGGGGATGTAATAAACTTACTACGCCCGAAGAACCGATTGAATTTCACCAGGCTTTAGCAAATGCCGTGAATCGAACGGAATCATCTACTTTTAACATAAGCAAAGGTTGTTCTAATAAAATCTAAATGTCTTATTGTTTCTTTGAAGAAAAAATTCATCTTTTTATATATATACAAGGTATCCTGAAATTAGCGAATTGAAATACTATAACAGAAAAGTTTTTGAAACATTAAATTAAAAAAATTATTTGCGATTTCCGGAAAGGGAGGGGGAAACCTTATATATATATAAAGTTACTGACGCAGATTTTGTTCTGATTGCTTAGATTATGGAGTCTTGATTGGGAAGCCGTGTAAACATGGCATGTATCCCGTGGATCCAAGAGAAGAAGAATGGTCGTTGACGACAGAAGGACATGTTCTCACCGAAGGTTATCAGATCTTCGACCAGAACGAATATTGCATGGACATCTTTTATAACAAATCGGAATTCGATCATAATTTTCATTTGTTTATATGTTTCGAAGATCCAGAGATACCTCAACACACTCGAACGAGGTACAATTTTTATTTTCTTTTAAACTTTAAATCGCATTATTTGATAATTATACAATAATCACATATTTTTTTTTAGTTTATTTAATAATCATGTATTTCTGTTATTCTATTCAACTTTATTTTGTCAATCATATTTTCTTGGTAAACTTTACCGTAGAGAGAGAATGCAGTTTATATGTATTCGAGATCTTAAAAATTATATTTGAATATGCTGAAACATTTTGAGATATCAAAGAAAAATTGTTTTAAAAGAAATAAATTCATACGTATAAGTTCTAATGCTAAAGTGAATGCATTGTGTTAAATTTGTATTGACATTACATTTGTAACTATGAATTCAAGGCTCCTAGCTCTCTCACCGTAAATTCTGCCATATTTGGCGAAACTCGACTGGCTTGATTTGTTTAAACTTCACAAAGTTCAAACAAACATAGCATGCCGCACAATAGACGATGCTCAGTATTTGAAACTTGTAAACGTTTCGTGGTATACTCGATTAAAGAGAAGCATTCGTCAATGTCTGTCAAATTGACGAAAGCAACGGTGCTCAGCCATATGAGCATTGAATAAACATGTCACGCGTGTTCACTGCGAAATATGTAATATGTAAAAATGTGAAATACATATTTTTCACTCGACTTGATAGATACCAAATAAACAGCGCCTTGGAAATCACCAGCTGCGCTTTTCTGTTGATGACTCTATTAGTATATGTGTGCCTTCCAAGTCTACAAAATCTTCATGGTAAAACGCTCATGTGCCACGTAGGCAGCCTCATCCTGGCTTTTACCTGTTTAGCCATCGTACCCTGGATTATGCCCGCTAGTGTAGTTGAAACCGAGGAGTTAAGAGCTACGACAGCATGCAAAGCTTTAGGTTGGTTATGCGATTGGTATACATTGTCATATATACCAGGAAATATGTATAATATATAAACAACGTTAAGGAAAAAAGAAAATATTTTTTCAGCTTACATCATGCTTTTTTGCTTTCTATCGTCATTTTCCTGGCTCAACGTCATGTGCTTCGACATATGGTGGACCTTCGGGTAAGTCATTCGCGATAATACGATCGGATCAAACGGGGTAATCGAGGCAATTGAATAGATGGGGCAGCGCGCGAGTATTTTCCGAGAATCAATAATCATTTTTCTTTGATAACTAATACCAAATAAATGATAAGCCTTTTTTAATGATTTTATGACAATGATCGCTGATAGTCTATGATTACGAAAATTATTATGTTGTCTCATTTACCCGATAGAGTTTCATTGGCCTTCTACAGAATTGTCTCATCACTATCACCGTTCTCGTTAACCGTCCCATCATTCCGAATGTGTCTATAGATTCTGTGTACAAAATTGTTGTACTACGCGTATACCGGTAGTAAAAAAAATATACAACGCCAAATATTAAACATTGAAATGACTCAACGCATTTTATATAGCGCCAACGTTATATGGATAAAACGCAGAAAGTATACAGTTTTACACAGTAGTTTTAGCTTGCGTTTGTTTTGTAAATCATCGTTACAATTTATAGAAAGTAATTAAATAGAAGATAATTTTTAATAGAATGAAAGAATGATTTTTTGATTTCTTATTAAGAAAAATCTCGTACATATTGTGCGATATAAAAAAGCGACCTAATGATTGCTCCAAATTGGAGAGTGTCTTGCCTCTGGTCTCCCTCGACGGTTACGAACGTTTATGTATTCAAGATGCTATTCTGGACGAGAGATTTGTAAATATACGAAGAAAATAGATTTCCATGTCTTGACGACGACGTATTTTAATACCGAAATCTTGATCGGGAATTCCACGAGTTCGTTTCCTAAACATTCGCATTCTCATTCATTTTGCATTAAAAAGCAAATTACGTGTTATTCATGCGATATTTGCGAAATTTTATGGTTGGATTTTTAAATAATATATTTCTCGAATTAAAAACGATCCTGTTGATTGAATTGTTCTGGATGATACAATTTTTATGACGTGGTATGTCATGCACGTGTCCCGTCATTAGTTTTTCTCAATTTTCTTTATTTATTATTTGATTAATATTAATAGAAAATATCAGCTCAAGAAAAATATACAGAGTGAATTTCGAAATTAAAGATTAATTTCGCTCTTTTTAAAGATTAATGCGGTCTTTGATTTATTCAAATTTAATAAGTAAAATAATGATAGCTTATTTTTCGCAGAGTTTTACGTGGCAGTACGATTACAAAGGCCCGTGGACATAGAAAAAAATTTCTGTTATATTGCTTGTACGCATGGGGCCTCTCTCTGCTGGTGTCAATCCTAACGATCATTGCCGACTACACGGATATCCTGCCAGATTATTTGCAGCCCGATATTGGCAATACGAGCTGTTGGTTTACACGTGAGTCATCTGCTGGGACCAATTACTGCTGTTTGAGATGATGTAACGTAAATTTGTCAGTGCTAATTATGATGTTCGTGGAAAGATCGCTGGCCTTGTAACGAGAAGTTTGACTCAACGTTAAAGATTTCACATATACTCTCTTGTTATTATAATATATACATTGGAAATAGATGAGTTTGAGGATACGGTACGAGTTCTAGTCGGAAAATTTGTTCAAAGTTTATCGTATTGAAAAGAAGGCAAATAAAATCTCTTTCTTTGATAGTTTCTATCGCAATTATTATCCGATAATTAAAAAGTTTCTGAGTAACCATATCGATCGAGCTGGTACAAATTCAAGCCTCATTGCGCCTCAATATATAAAGTGCAAAGAAACTAACTACTCGCGTAAAAAATATCGTTTATATCGCTGAAATAATTGCGCTCGGTAATGATCAAGAGAGATCCGCGACAAGTGATCGTTTACAATTTGAAATGAAGATAAAGATATGCATTACTGAATCGTACTTTTTAATGTAGTTGCATTTCCTATTTGAATGTGGTAAAAAAATAATTAATTCTTTTATTATAAAAAATACTAATGGTGTGAAAATAATTAAATAATATAATTTTATTGTACGTGTGTATGTGTGTGCATAAGAGAGACATTACGTCATCCAATTTTCTTCATATTTGTGCAAAGAATACGTGCTCTCTATATTCTTTAATCAAATGTTACAGAAAATCCAGATTCGTTCAGCGAATTAACTTTCTTTATCGGCCCCATAACGATTCAACTGATATCTAACGTCGTGTTTTTCGTTCTCACATCGGTACATTGCAATAAGGTGAAAGCGGAGATAAAAAGAGTAACTACGGATCCTATGGATCCCAGGAGCAAGCGATTTCATTCCGATAGAAGTAGGTGAGTTATTTTATTTTTTTGTCAACTTTCTCTCGGCGAGAGAAAAGCTTAATGATCTCTGTTTTGTCTTCAAATTACAATCATATAAACGAGAAAAGACACTTTAACAATAAATTCACGGTTAGCGAACATAAATTTTGACATGTGTGGTTTTGAGATTGGTTTTACCGTCTTTGAGGGAGAGCATTTTCCCCGAAATCGCTTTAGTACAACTACGTAAAAAAAAAAAAAAATGCGAGAATCATTCACTATTTAAAACTAGAACTACGGTAATAAAAATCGTGTGTGTTTTAAAATGCGTTTAGTTTATACACCGTCGAATTCAGTGATGAGTTAGTCGAAATACTGTCGGTTTTTTTTTTTTTTTTTTTTAAATGATCAATAGAGTTGGATTTTAGCTACATGTGAATAACTTTGTTTTTATAACAAATACAAAAGAATTTTAATTTTAACAGAAATTTTATCGAGTTTAATCATTCTTCTATATGCCATTAATTTTTATTATTATTGTAGTTTAAATTGTATTTCACGCAAGGTTCTTTTTTATCCATAATATTTTTTGACAGATTTGTCATGAATATCAAACTGTTCATCGTTATGGGAATGTCCTGGAGCTGCGAGGTGGCGTCGTTCTTCATGAAGAAATATTTAAATTACATTTACTGGCATTACACATTGTTCTACGTTAGTGACGTCTTCAATTGCCTTCAGGGCCTATCGATCTTCATTCTCTTTGTCTTGAAGAGCCGCGTTTACCTGGCCCTTCGCAGACGATTGGGATTAAATACCAAGAATAAACCGAATCCAACGTGCAACGCGACTACGATTTTGCAAGATCCTTATAGAGTCAGAAAAAGTGCGAGCAGCAGTACGTTAATGACTACGTTTGCGATCAGTTCGGCGCCATAAGGTAACAATTCAATTGCTTAGTACATATAAATAGTTTATCCTTACCTTTTTTACATATATTCGATATGCCCGCACCATCCGAACTATTTTAAATTATCCTCTATTTATTCTTTTGTGTGTGTGCGTGTGTGTGTGCGCGCGCGCGCGCGCGTGTCTGTGTGTATATGTATGTTAGATAAACCAAATACGTATATAAATAACTATTATTAATATTTTACTATATCCAATATGCCCAACGGTTAATGCATTTTAATAAACTAATAAATTTATAATAACGAAAAAGAGAGAGAGAGAGAGAAACAGTTTATTAAAAGAGGGTTTATTGAGAGCCACTGTGAATGGATTATGTTCCGAACAAGACCTCTTAATTTGCTATCTGGGATAATTTTATCACCCTCACAGAATACAAGGAGTGAATAATTGGCACAAGGGTAATTGCGTTTCATTGGACGTCATGCGAATAGTGTCATAAATAGAACATAGGGCCATTGTAAAAAATTTGCTTTTATATTACCATATATCATATTGATATACTTACTAATAATTATCTTGGCTCTCAGAAGTTTGTTAAAAAAGTTTATTAGAAAAATCTGAGAATGGTACAAAATTTTATATTACAGAAGCGCGAGAGAAAGAGAAGGAATATTAATTTTATCTGTAGTAATGTACTATGTCGTGATGTTACCAAAAATATCAAAAAAGTTAGATTATCACAAATTAAAAACGATATTGTATTGTTAGATAAGTACAATGTATAAGTAAGCATGATTTTGTGTGTATGTAGATTAAGTACAAAGTCATGTATGTAAAAATCATCGTTTAAATATTAAATGATTTCTGATATATTTTTGCGTTTTTAAGAATATCCTTTAGTACGATTGACGAAAAGTGACTGATCTATTGGTATTATATAATGCGTTTTTATAGAGCACAAACTATCTCTTTTAAACTAATATCTCTTTACGCAGGTAAAATTACGATCAACGACAAGCACAAATTAAAAATGCTATTTTTGAAATAATATTCTCAAATAATCAAGTACAGTAAAGCTTTTTAGGGAAAATTATAGGATGTCTCACAAGTGTAAATATTAAAATATTTATTGTTGTACTTTTATTCCCGCATATTGTATTACGATAATTAATTATTTTTTTAATTGGTAGTAATCCGCAGGAATAAAATAAATATAAAAAACTCCACAGATAGCAAAAAATTGCTTTTATTTTTAATATACTCAAATGGAGTTTAACGATAAAATCATGTTTTTTTTTTTGCAAAACAATATATCTACTTGCACTAGGATGCATTCATCAGTTTTTACATTTCCGTTTTAATATCAAAACGGCGCGTGAGAGCAAATTTTTATGCCACTTCGAAACTAAAATCCACGGTCCGGTCTTTCTTCTACTATTGAAATAGTCCTCGAAGAAAAGACTAAGATATATATCGCGGCTATAATTTTTTGACAAGTGATACTAATATTAAATCTCGTACAATTTATCTCTTTCTGGCATAAACGTATCGCTTAAAATCATAAAGTCTATTATAACACGGCCGCCACTCTTAGTCATCAATCACTCATCGAGCTTCTAAAATCAATACACGCTTAATAGTAGTACGGACCAGCGCACAATTGATTGCGTTTCTTGCATGCATTGCGTGTGTGTTATAACTTGTTAGAAAAATATCTTTACGTGTCACAATCTTTAACGAATGATTTTCTTTCGCAGGAACAAACGATAATTCGTTTTAATAAAAATTAGCATTGAATAACAAGTGAATCGCGATAAAATTATTATTACTATTACGCGTTATTTTATTTATTATTGATGTTATTGCCAGCACTATGTGGATATATCTCTTCCACAACACAGTCTCTTTTCTTTTTGTTTAAATACATAACAAAATCAGCAATTACAATACAAATCTATTAAAACAACATATGTACATACATATAATAAAAGACGTTTGTAGTGTCTTGCTTATGGATTTCTTGCGTAAAGTATAGTCGTCAAGAAAAAAAATAATATATGAACATTATTATAAATATATACATCTATAATATAAGAGTTTCTATAATGAAATTTTTGGACGTATAAATTCCGAAATCTCCTAGAACCATGAAATCTTTAAATAAACGCATCCTTTCCTTGTAACATAGTATAAACATACAAGATTTTCCACGATCGTTTCCTCATTTTGTATAAAGAATGATTTATACTAGAGTCATCATTAATCTAACAATCGATGATTTAACATCAGATTGAATAAAGTTGAAAATTCATTTAAATGACTCAAGATAATTCCAACTATAATATCCCTGCCATATCACTATAATTACTTCATTTTCAGTCGGTTATCATTAAACCTCGTCCTTGTAATAATTAATTAATATCTCGCCAATGATAGTTATATAAATATAACTTATGATCTTTAAGTAATACCTTGAATAACCAAAATAAAGGCACTTTTGGGAATGCCGGGAAATAAAGACGGACTCTTATTAGATTGACTTTAAATGCGAATTAAACGAGGTCGTCAGGGTTTTCTCTCGTTCGCGGTTTCCTCGAGGTCCGGATCCTCGTTGATGATCGAAATGTCGCGCATCGACGGCCTGCGCGCTTTCCAAGCTTCCGGTGGGGCGACCGGCGTGGTAGTCTTCGTCAGGAGCTTTGGTCCCGAGAGCGTGATGATGATGGCACCCGCCGGCGCTGTCAAAAGCACTGAGAGCACGCACAACATCAATATCATCTCAGCGTATTCGACCTCACGTTGATTATCCTTGTCGACCTCGTCGAGAGTGACAGGAGCCAGGGCCGCCTGCACAGTCGCCTTGGCCATGCATGACAGGGCGATGAATATTTTCTCTTTGAGATTGAGCTTGGAACCGATTCCGCATAACACCGTTACCCCGATCCGGATGACGATGCCGGCTATCAAACAGCCTAGCCCGAGATAGACGGTCTTTCCTTCCAGCTCGTTGATCTTGATCTGCATCCCAGTAATGCCAAACAGGATCGGCTCGAATATCATCCAGAAGATCTCGAAAGATGTGGCCACCGGATTCTGCAATGAAAAAAAAAAGCATACAGTCGCGACAAGATATATGATAGACGTGATAAGGAGGGAGAAAATTTCGTATAGTTTCAAAAATAATTAATAATTAGAAATATAAGAAGAGAAATAATAACAGAAATTTATTTAGCCTTGCCGAGATACACAAGGCGCGTAAGATATTAAAACGCCACGACTTTTCGACAGAAGATGATTTCCACAAAATAATGATTTTTCACCGAATTTCCTTTAAAGGATAACCGATTCTGTAAAAAAAAAAACATACAATCGCGACAAGATATATGATAGACATGATAAGCAAGGAAAAAGTTTTGTTTAGTTTCAAAAATAATTAATAATTAGAAATATAAGAAGAGAAATAATAACAGAAGTTTATTTAGATTTGCCGACATACAGGCGCGTAAGATATTAAAACGCCACGACTTTTCAACAGAAAATGATTTCCACAAAATAATGATTTTCCACCGAATTTCCTTTAAAGGATAACCGATTCTGTATTCGGCGATGATATCGCATCGCATTGTTCATGCGCTCGATATCGGGATATGGAAATCTTCCAACGTTGCATGGAAATACAGAATATCCAGAGTTCACGCGGTGTGTGCAGGCTCGTATTTAGCGCTATTGTTTACACGCGCACGCGGTGCGTAGGAAATCTCGACAATATTGATTTATTTAATTTATTTCCATACAATTTTCTGATAATGGCACGCGTCAGCCTCGCGGATACAAGAAAATAATAATATATATGCTCTCTAATATACGTTTCTTTAATGTATTATAGCTTCTAAGATAATATCAAATAGATGATATTAAACATTTTAAGGAATATGTATATATAATGATATATCAAATATTTTACAGAAAATAATACAATTGTATTTATTCGCATCAAATTATATATATCACTGTCTATCTATCTAATCTTACATATACATATATACGTATGTATATGTGTGTGTGCGAAATTATATTTGCATTCTAATCCAATTATATATGCGCGTTTAGTCTCGTTTAATTCCGCGATGTATCTGATGAGATTTAATCACATAGGATATCGCATATATGCGGAAAACAGTGTTTAAACTCGGAATAAATTACATCATTCATCATTATTTAAGACAAAAGGCATTGCCGTCGCCGCATCATCGTGCGATTGTTGCGTAGTAATTAATCCGACCGGGATATATTATGCCGACGAGCTCCGTGACATACGAGGCGCATATCGCATACGGGGGTGTAATATCGACAGATGTGCTGGTTACAGTCACGTCACGGAACGCGTGTGCGAAAGAACGTGTCGCCGGCACCGCCGTCGTCGACAGCGGGAATGCGACGCGAGATGCGGAAATAGGAACGAGCCAGTTGACTCCCAATCCGCACCCTACCCGAATAGCGACGATACGTCGGCCTGAATATTTCACGAGATTCAAGTTATTGGGGCAGGAGAGTGAAGCGCCGCCGGCGCCTTCCGTCACCGATACCTCTTCCTTCCGCCAATAGATTAAATATTTAATATCTTGTATGTTTTTAGATGGAAATTTTGAAGAATTGAGAAAGATATCTCGATACTTAACTCGCAATATTTCTTGAATTGATTTAGTTATGGTTTATCTACGTTATCTTTTTTCGAATCTTAGCAACGTTTACGAAAATAATTTAGGAATTTAACATATGTATATAACATGTGTTAAATATCAGGTGATTGCATAAGTTCGTGCCCGATTTAAATATAAACTTCAATAGATTATATTTTAGAGATAACACTTTTATTAATCAATTATATAGTCTCCATTCTTTTCTACAATGGTTTTCCAACGATCTATAAGCTTGTCGATTCCATTTTTGAAGAAAGAACTTGGTTTTTCTTGAAAAAAGTTTGTAAGGTGGTTTTCGACAGCTTCCTCGGAATTGAGATTCTTGCCATTTAAACTATTCTGCAAAGACCGGAACAGATAAAAATCTGAAGGCGCAATATCTGGAGAATATGGCAGGTGCTGCAGAATTTCCCATTGCAACTCCTGCAATTTTCGCAGCGTCTGTTGAGCGACGTGTAGCCTAGCATTGTCGTGGTGGAAGATGACGCCTTTTCGATTGGCCAAAATCGGACGTTTTTCTCGAATAGCTGCAGCGAGTCTAGTTAGTTGCTCACAGTACTTGTCCGCCGTGATTGTTTCGCCGCGTCGGAGCAGCTCAAAGTAAATAATTCCCTTGCGATCCCACCAAACACACAGCAACACCTTCATCGGATGCAAGCCAGCCTTTGCTTACGGGTTCTGCTCCTTCAGCTGCTGTTTTCCATGTCCTCTTTCGCTGTACGTTTTTGTAGAGAATCCACTTTTCATCGCCTGTTACCATTCGATCTAAAAAAGGCTCTTTTTTGTTACGCTCGAGAAGAGAAAGACCCACAGTCATACGGTTTAGCTTATTCCTTTCAGTCAGGAGATGCGGCACCCATGTATCAAGCTTGGAAACGTATCCAAGCTTTTTTAAATGACGAAAAGCGGTTGAATTATCGATGTTCAGCCTCTCAGCAATATCCTCAGTTGTAATCCTTGGGTTTCTTTCCACTAAGGCATGCACAATGTCATCATCAATGCCAGAAGGCCGTCCAGAGCGGGGTTGATCCTCCATGTTGAAATCACCATTTCGAAATCTGCCAAACCACTTTTTGACTGTTCGGAGAGCAGGAGCGCGGTCCAAATAAACGGTTTGAATATTTTTTTGTGCAATCCCAACACTCACGCCTTTCCGAAATTCATATAAC